CACCCTGGACTCCGCCTGCCTACCTATCCTAGGTGTTGGTGTCTGATCTCCATTGCCCAGAGAAAGTGACTTACTCCTTCATAGTCAAAGGGGACAGGACACTGCATTGTAGAAGCCAGCATTGCCACCAGCAAATTTCACTGTCCTTGGGGGCGGAGAGGAGGTGGGGCTGGCAGCTTGTGCTCACATGGTTGCCTGTGCACTGAGGCCTAAGGATAGGACCAGGGTATGGGCTGTACTGTTCACTCTCTTCCATCTTGCATTTTAGATTTTGAAGAATCTCCATGTTTTAGCAGGTATTGTTAATGCATTCTTTAAGATTGATAAGCAATATTCTAATGTATGAACTTACCACAGTTACTAGTTCATTTACTCCCCAGATTTTTTAGTTGTTTGCAGCTTTAGCTACTACAAATAAAGTACCATGGATTCTCATAGCTTCTTGAACACACTTCTAGACATCTGTGCCTTTACCCATGCAGGTGGCTCTGCCTGCATCCTGAGTGGGTTATGCTGGAAGTCCTCTTTTCCACAATCACCCTTCACCCCTGACTAATTACCGTAGGTCCCTCCTCCCCTTCAGTCCACAACATATTGTTGATGTCCCATCTATTTGTTGTCCCATGAATCATAGCTTTGTGTGTTTCTTCACTGGGGGATGCTTTGTCAGTCATGTTTACCTTTGGAATGGCCCTAGTTTTCTCCAATGCCTTGTTACAGAGTGGGTGGAGGAGTGGCTTACTCAGTATTTAGGGTATGAAGCCAGAAAGGTAGTAATTCTGTAGGCCATCATGATACTGGAATCTTTGTTGATTGTGCTTGAGATACCGAGTTTCCGACATCCCACAAGGTTTATGACTGACTGGACAACTGCTGTTAGGAATTCTGGGATCACTTCCTGTGATTCAAGACTGGGCATACAGGCTGACTGAAGAATCTAGCTAGGATTATAGAATTAGAGAAAACTACACCATAGAGTTAGAACCAACACACCAGAACAACAGTGTCTGCAACCCTATACAATGCAGGCCAGTTGGGTTTTTGTGACAAAGGAGGAACATCTTTTAATTCTTCTTGAAATGGAAGTGGCAGCTTGATAGGGGCTGAGGAAATGCAGCGGTGTGGCCACAGGTGATTGTCCCGCCTCTCTCTAATCTCCACTGGGGTCACTCAGGAGCAGATGAACCAGTGTCCTGGCTTGCCCGGTGCCAGTGGTTTCTCTTCAGAGACCGTGGATTTAGAAGTTGCCCGTTCCTCTACAGGGGTGACATGATGGAGAATCATCATTCCACTTAACCAGGTATGCTATGCGTGGAGTTAACTACTGAGACATCACTGTATCTCCCACAGAAGAAGATAACACTTAGGCTCTGGCATGGTTACACTGCTTGAAATCCAAACTTGCAGTGAGCAGAAAGATGTGAAAAAAATGTAATTTGGCAAATAGAGAATCATGAGCTAAATCAAAGTTTGTGGGTAGTTAAGGACAAAATACAGGTAATTGTTTAAAAAAGCTTTGCACAATTAAAGAGAAACCTTGTCCTGTTTTGCACTGGGACAGTAGGAAAAGTACCTGGAAGAGAAGACCTCACACATAGGAAACTCCAGCATGTAACAACACACACTCATTTGGAAAACTTTCATTTACGAAGAAAGTGCTTGAAAAGCAGGGCCTCCTTGCCCCCACAAGACTACCCACAGCAAGGTTTTCTCAGGTTCAGTCACCCAGACACTCAACGGTTACTGTAATTGCGATGAAAGGGGATCCAAGTTACACCTGGTGTTATAAACTATAAGCAGAATTTGGTGTTATCTCCTATGTAGTACTTGGTTTGAAGTCATGCAGAATGCAAGCATTATATGGTTATGGAAACTTTCACCAAGGTTTCAGAAAGGCACTGAAGCCAGGAAGTGTGTGACAGGGTCAGATTTCCTGCAATCAATGAGGCCCTGAAGGACATTGCACTCTGTTGTGAAGATGAAGCCTAAGTTGTCACGGCGATTCTAAGATGCTGAAGATGCCAGGACCATGAGATGTTTTCCAAGGAAAGCTAAAGTTCTCAAATGTTGCCAGCCTAAGAGAGAGGCCACATTCGCTGTAGGCAACAGGGATTGTATTGACTGAGACTGAGACTCTTAAACTTAGGTGATTCCACTGCAGACCACAGACACCAGACCTGGAGCTAGAGGATGCTGTTGGAACTGTAGGGTTATGGGACATTTAAAGTTAGGCTGGATACATTTTGCATTATGAGATGGCCATAAGCCTATGGAAACAGGGGTGAAATGATATGATTTGAATGTAAAATGTCCCCCACAGACTCATGTGTTGTTCAAATATTTGCTCTTCAGCTAGTGATACTATTTTGGGAAGTTTCTGAAATAGGAGGTAGAGCCTAGCCAGAGGAAATGGGTTACAAGAAGGCAGTAATCAATGACTGACTGTATCTCAGTCCGCTTTTGGATCTGAGCTCTCTTGGCTTCCTAATCTACATACACAGTCCTAGTTACACATTTTCACTGCTATGAACTTTTTCATGATAGACTGTCCTCACTCAACCCACAAACCAAGTTAAATCCTTCCTTAAATATGGTCTGTCAGGCCTTTGGTCATGACAGCAGCAAGGAACATAATAAACACAGAAAGTAAAAGAGGATAGATTGCAGTCAAGGTTAAATCTACATAGGAAAACATTAAATATGGAATGGTTGGTAACTGTGTAAGGACTTAGATTGGGTGCTCATCGTGGCAAGCTAACAACAAACAGCCTGAAGAAGTGTGTGTGCATGTGTGCGTGTGTGCATGCGTGTGTGTGTGTGTGTGTGTGTGTGATTCTGTGGGACTTCATATGCTTGCTACGCAATAAAAAACAAATGTTTCTCATTGCGTCACTAAATCTTAAAAGCTTCATCTCTAGTTTATAAAGCAGCTGAGGTTTTCTGGTGGATTCTCCATCCACTGGGTAATTGTGTGGACTTACTGTACACACATGCTCTTCTTGTGTCCGTGCCATTGTGCTCAGGGATAAACAGCAGGGCAGCAATACCCCTCCAGCTCTGTGTGTGCAGGATGGCCTCCTTCGTGCCAGAAGAACTGTTTGGGGAAGATGACTCGTGTCCTACTTTGCCCTCACAGTCTTAGGTTCTAAGTGGGTCTGTCCTGCTTGGAGATGTAAACATTAATGTTATCTTCCTGTGCACACCTTTGAAAAGTGCTTTATAGTTTTGAGTGACAGTGGAGGATGTAGACAGAGAAATTACCAAGGTGTTTGCCAAAATCCCGATTTTATAGAGGAAGAGCATGCTTCTGGGAGGGTACGGTCTATTTAAGGCTTGCCTCTGTCCTCTGTCTCCAGATGGAGAATGGAAGCACCATTAATATCATGTGGATGATTCTGTAAAATGAGCACTGCGGTTTATGTTTGTAATGGTGTGAAAGGTGAGAGAAGGTATTGTATTACTGTCTTGGCCTTGTCTGTGATTTTATGTAAGAGTGGCAAGGTCAAAGTTTATTTAGTCATGGATAATAAAGTAAAGGGAAGTCATTCTGATGATTTTCTGGAAAAGGATATGCAGCTTGAAGGCTGTATATTTGAACACCTTCTCTAGTTGGTGGTTACAAATGAACAATGGTAGAAATGAGAAATACCTAACTCCAGAGTTTGTTATTCATGCCTCTCATGCATCGGTGACTTAAAAATGCCTATGGATTTGTCCCCAAGTGTGGACTTTGAGTAGGGGGAAATGCATGAGAAGTGTATCTAGAGTCTTCAGTGACTTTTGAGAAATTCCATATCCCACCTCAAGATTTCCAACTGGCATTTTAGAATTTTAAATTGGGAAAGTGAAAATAGAAATATGGTAAAATACAGCAGAGGCAGGAACGGTGTTATGAACCTGTAGCTTCGTAACCTGGAGGCTAGTGCAGCAAGAGGAGTCCATGTTTAGGGATAGCCTGGGGTAGTTTCCTGTCTCAAAAAAAAAAACCCAGAAAAATAGTGCTAATAACTTTGTTCCTTTTTTTTTTTTTTGGCTACAAATCTATTTGACGGCAAAAGTCTTTTGAATCCAGTGTCTGCTTTCCTGACCTGTATACAGTGAGACATCCTTACCAAGCTCTTTAGACGGGTTTTAACAAACTGATCTCTGATCCATCTGTGTTTGATGCTTTCCACTTGTACTGTCTGAATAATGTCATTTGTGGATATTTTTAAAGTAAGCTTGTTCAGTTAGCAATGAGCCCAATGCATTCTAAAATCTCATTTGACCCTAATAGTAACAAACATGGTAGTAGGCAGAGGGCACTTGAGCGGAGCCTGCTAGCTGCCAGCTAGTTCAATGGAATCCAGGCTTCAGGACCACTCTGCCCTCCAGATTGGTCATCTCGCTAGAATCATCCAGTTGTGACAAATGGCACCCACTGTCTTTCCTCTCTTTCTCCTTTCTTTCATGTCTCCTGGTTAGCCAATGATGGACTTATTAACTAGCTTGGGTCTGTACTCTCAAAAATTGAATTTAAATCTCCTACCCAGGACCCTGATTAAAATTATTAAGTGATTTTTTTTTAAAGAAAGACATGAAAGTAGAGGAGGGACTAGGTGGGAATGGGGGTCAGCATGAGGGGAACAGGAGGAGGTAAGGGGGTGAATATGATGAAAACTCATCATGTGTATGGAAATGCTGCGATAAAACCCATTATCATACACAATTAATGTGTGCTAATAAAAAGGAAATTTGAGTTTAGTGGGTCTAGGGAGGGGCCTAGATACTCATGCTGACAGTCCAGACAGAAGCAGCTACAAAGCTGGCGAAGTGACTCTGACGCTGTAAGAAACAGGTGACGGCGCAATAAGGGACAAAGTCTGAAGCCCAGCATCAGCATCAACATTTCAGGAGACAGCCGCGGAGCCTAGCTTACTTAGTGTGACAATCACGTCAGGGAACGTCTAGCTCCTGTGTAACGTTGTCTGTCTGCTGTCTTTCCCCTTCTGTCTCCTCAGCCATCATGTACGTCATGGGAGCACTTGGTCCTGCAGTAGGATATTTACTAGGTGGGCTACTCATTGGTTTTTATGTCGATCCCAGAAATCCTGTTCTCCTTGATCAGAACGACCCTCGTTTCATCGGAAACTGGTGAGTGGTTTCAACATTTTGCATTTCAATTACTCGAGATAGTTAAGTATTACTTTGTAGCTACAGTTCCCCAGTGGAGAGGGAAAAATGTAGTTAGGCATTACCTGTAATAGATGGTAGGCCAGGTAATTTCTTTCACAAAAAGCCATTTCCTTATCCTCAGTGTTTACCACATATAGTGTTCTATATGCAGGAATGCCTGCAGACCAGAAGAGGGCGCCAGATCTCACTACAGATGCTTGTGAGTCACCATGTGGTTTCTGGGAGTTGAACTCAGGACCTCTGGAAGAGCAGCCAGTGCTCTTAACCCCAGAGCCATCCCTCCAGCCCCTGTACCCAGAGCTTAATGGAACCTTCTGTGACGAGGGGACTTTACGAAGAGGATCAGATGCAGGATTTTTGAGAAGGGGAGAGTATATTAGGAGAAGAGAAGAAAGAAGTAGCCAGATTCAGAGATCTGCTGACTAAAGCAGAGGTCGTTCACTCTGAAGATGGAGGAAGGACTGGGAACAAAACAATGCAGGCTGCAGGCAGAGGCTAGGAAGGAAAGATGGGTCCTCTCTAGCGGGGACTTTCAGATGGGATGTGCAGATGCCTGAAGCCCAGAGCTAGGAGCTGAGTCCATGTGCAGTTGGTGCTGATGCCCTTGTGTTATACGAGTCACTCTGCATGTGATAACTTCTGGTAGCAGCAACAGGAAACTAACGCAGAGGTGTTGGGGGGTCACGGTATCTTAAGCAGGAAGAGGGCTTCTGTGACCCTAAGGGGACTTTCCTGAAAGGTTTCCTTAACTCTGTCTGGGTCATCTCACGTCCATCGTTAATAGAGGAAGTGCCCACAGACTTGTCTACACCAGTCTGATGGAGGAAGCTGAGGTTCCTTCCTTCCGGGTGGTCCTAGCGGGTGTGAAGTTGACAAAAACTTGGAAGGGCATGTTCTCCCTGGCTCAGATCTCCAGTCCAATCTTTCCATTGCTCCCCTCTGAGCAGATCTTCTCTCTTTGGAAACTAGTTTGTTTCCCACATACCCTGCACATTTAGCTGTTCTCTTGATTGCTAGACTTTAAGAGTCCTGCTACACCAGCGGCGCTGAGAACTCCGGGGAATTTCAACATTAGGTGGTATACTATTTGTCTGCTTCACAGTCCTCAGTTTGCATAGAACAAGTTATTTCTCCATGACAGCACAGCCAATAGCTGAAAATGTTGGTGTTCCGAGTTCATGTTGCTGAATATATACATATCTATATCTGTATCTATATATTAGGCACATACTGACAGATTTTCATTTTGTGGCAAAACAATATTTTAGTATTAGGTATTACATGTGCCACACAATTACTCTCTGAAGAGGGCTGTAACTCTGTGTGGTTGGTGGGAAATATGCTTAACACAAATTTCTAAGTAGTTAACAGATTAGTGAGGCTGTGTGACAGTTCTGATTTTTATAGTAAACAGCATTGAAGCTAGACAGGCTAGCACCAGGTGAACTTGACCTGTAGAATGTCTGAGTCATACAAAGAGGAGTAGGGGAATAACATGGGGTTTTAAGTTCTTGATTGATAGTGAAAATTTTGATCTCAGCTGTTTTCATTACAGTTCTGGAATGAGTCAGAACAGAAGTTATTTTTCAACATTAGAAAACAGATTCCTGGGCTGGAAAGATGGCTCAGAGGTTAAGAGCACTGACTGCTCTTCCAGAGGTTCTGAGTTAAATTCCCAGCAACCACATGGTGGCTCACAACCATCCATAATGAGATCTGGTGCTCTCTTCTGGCGTGCAGACGTACATGGAGGCAAGATGTTGTATTCATAATAAATAAATAAATCTTTTAAAAAAGAAAACAGATTCCTAAAATATACTTATGAATGTCCAGTGTATTCCCTGAGTTCTACTTAGAAATGCTGAGATGAGTGAGGTAGGAAGGGAACACAGGGAGGGAAAGACAGAAGCAGCAAGAGCAAGAGGTAGAAAGGCCTGCCTTCTGCTGTCATTCATCAGTTATCTAGCGGACAGGCACTTACTCAGCTGGTGGCAGAATGGCTCTATGTGGAGCACACACCCTAAGTTGTGTGCTCCTCATAGCTGTGTGGACTTGGGGAATTACTTCTCTGTTCCTTGGTTGTAGTGTTGTTGTAAGGCATGACTAGACTATGAAGAAGTCTGAATTTGTCCTGTTTTGCCTTTCCAGTATGTCCTAGCCTTTAGCCATTTTTAAAGTTCAATTGGGGGCTCCCTGAAGGGTTATATACACACCCAGCAAGTGTTCTATCTCTCTCTACAATACAATCCCAACATTCTCTTTTAGCTTTTTCTCTTAATTATTTCTTTTAGCTCACCAAGTTGCTCAGGCTGGCCTTCAACTCACTTGTAACCAAGGCTGGCCTTGAACTTGCCATCCTTCTGCCTCAGGCTCCTGAGTAGCTGGGATTATGGACCTGTGCCACCTGATCAAGGCATCCTCGGTAGTTTGAATTTTATCAATAATTAAATAATTTTATTTATCCACTTGATGGATTAATTTTAAATATATAAATGATTGTTGGTTTAGAACTGTCTGAGTCTGTTTAAAATGAATTTGAATTGTTTTCTATTCGGCAGTATTGTTTGTAATAGGTTTCTCATTGAATGGAATGCCTAGCACTAAAGATAAGTTTTCATTAGAGGCTGAAGGAGGTATGGGTGGGTGAAATTATGCTGGCATTTATTAGACACTGTGTGTCAAGCATTGTACTAGAAGCTTTACACACACACACACACACACACACACACACACACACTCATTTAAGTCTTTAACAATCAAATGTGCCTTTAACATCATGCCCATTTTATAGGTCAGGAAATTAATAATCGGGGAATTGAATTACTTGTATAAAGCCTCTGTGTGGCGTGCTGGGTTAAGGAACTGATGGGTGGGGAGCTATTTGTCAGTCTACTGCCTACCTATGATTGGCATGAGTAATGGTTCATGAAAGGGATTTAGATACTTGAACCTTTCAGTCTTGAGTATTATTGAGGCATCTTTTTCCAACATATACTGCACATTGTCCTGTCATGGTTTCTCCCAGAGTCCTCTTCAGCAGTGGTTCAGTGGCTGTCATTATGTTGTGTTTCACATGGTTATTTCTTGATGCTATTGAGGAATATGAGCTGGTTTGTTTTGCTTTGAATTGACCCCACGCTGTCCCATTTTTATTTGCTTGCTGTAACTCTTCCCTTCTTCTGGGATATTGGGGTGCATCTCAAGGATTGGAAAAATAACTCAGTGGATAAGGTGCTTGTTGTGTGAGACTGGTTACCTGAGTTCACTCCCCAGAACCCATGTAAAGGTTGACAAGAGAATCAATTCCACAAAAATGTCCTCTGACCTCCACACATGTAATGTGCCAAGTACACTTGTATTAAATAAACATCTTAAAAATATAAAAAAGAGTGTATCTTGAATGACTGCATGAAATTCGACATAATCACAGGCTTGGTGACAGTTGAAAGTCTAGTCTGAGTGCAGATCTATGTTAAACACAAAACCAAAGTAGGTACTGCACATTAGCTGCTGATTTGGAGCGGGTGTTTCATTAGGTCTACTATAAGCATTATCTTATTCAAATTTTAGGACTCTCAGAAGCATTTTTTATCCCATTTTCCAGGTGAGAAATTCAGCTAGGAGAAGTAAAATAATTCCCCAATATCTCAGAGTTAGTAAGTGGTGAAGGTAGGATCTAAATCTGGGTGTGTCTAAACTGCAGCCCATGAATATCCCGACTCCTCTGCCTGCCCTCTCAAGGAGGGAGGATGGGAAGCTTCGATGATGAAGCAGCTTGGGGATTCCAGTTCCAGAGGGTGAGGGGGGCGTGTGACTAATGAGGGCTCATACGCAGCCAGACTCTGAAGGAACCACACTGACCTAGCTATGTTCCCCAACATTGATACCTGCCACCCATTTTAAACCTATTTCTTTCAATTTATGTATTGGGCAAAACTATTGAATACCTAACCGACCCAGGTACTAGGCTGGTATAATACAGTTCCTAGGAAGCTTTCTGGAACACAAACTACAAAATAAGATCCATCGCTCAGCTGTCTACCTTCTTGCACTTCTTGGAGGGTGTTTATCTTTGGCTGGCAGTAGTTTTAAGTTCGTCATGACAAAGATCAACTCTTAATGTCTTGATGTCCATCATATTTGTTAAATACTGTGGGACTGGATAAGTGGGGGCGAGCCATACATTGTTAGGTACTTGGAAAAATATTTAAGCCCCATTAGTAATTAGAATTACACTGGACATAAAGTTAGGGTGTAGCTTCAATCCCCATCACAAAATGGACAAAAAAACCCCACACTTGACAAGAGCTATTTTATTTCTTTTAAGTATGTTGCTCCTCGAAGCCTGTGAGGTAGTCTGTTGGTTTTCTAGGAATTTATTGTATCCAGGTGTGGTGGCTCATGCCTGTCATCGCAGCATCGGGACGTAGAGGAAGGAAGGTGAAATAGTCAGGGTCACCCTGAAATAATAATCAGTTGAGGCCAGTTGGGGCTACATGAGACTGGGGCGCACACAAAGCAAAATAAAACAAACCTTGTTATGAAGTGTGCACTGTAGTAAAACTAACCATGTTAGAAGACCTAGTCTGTACTCGGGTTTCTTGAGTGACATTCTAATCAAGTTGCTGGATATAATAGTCACTATAGTCCTAGAACAATTATGCATTTTCCCATTCAAATTACATTTATTTTCTCAGTTTGTTCAATCTTAAAATGATTTCTTTTCAGGTTTATCATGAGAAATCTATTTTGATGATCTGTTCTTACTTCCAACCTGAAGCCATAAATACTACTCACATTTCCCCATTTTTTAGGTGGAGTGGATTCCTCCTTTGTGCCATTGCCATGTTTCTTGTGATATTCCCAATGTTTACTTTTCCAAAAAAGCTTCCGCCTCGACACAAGAAAAAGAAAAAGAAAAAATTTTCTGCTGATGTCGTTAGTGATGATGATGTCATCAAGGAGAAATCGAACACGAGTGAACAAGTGAACAAAAAAGTTTCTTCAATGGGCTTCGGAAAGAATGTCAGAGGTAAATATGTCTCTTAAATAAATACACGCATGTCTCTACCATTTAGGTATGGCTCGATGGTAGAGGGCAGTACCGGAGGCCTTGAGTTTGATGCTCAACAGGGCCCTGAAATTGGAACTGTGTGGCCCCACACCAGTGTCCCTCACAGATGTTTGCTTCTTACTGGATAGATTTGAGAGAAATGCTGCAAATGTCACTTTAGAAATTTGAGAGAGTGGCCTCTTTGAATGGAGATGGGAGGCAGTGATACAGAGTGGCAGTCAAAAAGAGGGATAAATAAGAACAAAACAAAACGACATACATGTATAGAAAAAGCTACAATGAAACTTGTTACTTGTAAGCTAACTTTAAAAAAGACATTTAAGGGAATAATTTTATCTGTTGAATTTGACAATAGTTATAAAAAGTTAGGCTTTTATTTTTCATGTCTTTAAAAGGATGGATAGCCTGAAGACCAGGGTTCCATTTCTGGATCCCATGGTGGGAGAAGAGAAACACTTCCAAGGCATGTCCTCTGACCTTAACACACATGTGCTGACACAAGCCTGACATTCATGCAGACACATCAGATCCGCTTATACACACTAGTAGTGAAAAAATAAAAAATTAAACTCCAAAACAAATTTCCAACAATTCGTTTGAATGTGTTTTACAAAATTGCTAGTAGATAACAGACTAAACAATGTAAGAAATGGCCCATCCTGCAGGGAGTTTGAAAATCATTGCTTCAGGTCATGAATATAGCTGTATCTAGATGTAGCATTCACTGCAATTGCTGTTGTCTGCTTACTAACACTGTGGCTGCATTGTGTAAAGGGTGGCTTGTTTTAGGGGAGCAGTATGGTATTATGGGGATAGCCTTATGCAACTGTGAAACTCCATTAAAAGATAATTTTCCTTGGTAGCTGTACCAATTGTCCTTGTGAGGCTGTCCTGGAAGAAGGATGTCTGTGGGATGGACTGTCCTGTTTTTCTATTTTCATTTCTCTTAAAAATGATGAGTTTAGCACACCTTTAATACCAGCACTTAGGAGGCAGGGGAAGGGCTAGGGGCAGATTTTTGTGAGGCAGAGGCAGAGACAGGCAGATTTTTGTGAATTTGAAGCTAGCATGGTGTACATAGGGAGTTCCAGGCCAGCCAGAGCTACATGTGTGACCCTGTCTCAAAAATGAAATGCTGATAGTAGAAATAATAATAACATAATTATAATTGATTAACAATATTATTATAGAGTTCACAAATATAGATTAAATAATCTAAAATCTGAACATCTTAAGTTGCTCCTAAGTAAGCAATCTTTTATCTATTTAATGACAATAAGTCCCCTTGTTTAAGGGAACCTACAGTGTCAATTAATTATTTCCAGTCTCATTTCCTGAATTTTCTGAGTTAATTTTTATATGAGTTATAGAGCATGATGTTTATTAGATGCTCATGATAAAGTAACTGTGACACTTTGACTATGCATACACTGAGACAAAGGAATAGGAGGAAGTTACCAATAGGCCATAGAGTTGGCACTACAGACTAAGAAGGATGGTAGACTGAAACATTGCTAAAGATTACTTGTTAAAAGATAGCACCAATATTTGGAAAATACTATTTCTCTTCATTTAAGTTGTAGATATGGTCTTCTTCCTCCCCTTGACTTTGTGATAGTGTGTTCTTTTGTAGCTGCTAGAATAGCTCCCGATACTTCAGTAACACACAGGACTTCTCTTCATGCTCATGTGGTGTGAGCTCTTCCCATGTAGATCAACACATCATTTCCACAGCTGTATTGTGGACCATAATGATGGTGATGATGATGAAGATGATTACGATAGTGATGATGATGATTATGATGATGGTTGTGATGATGGTGGTGATGGTGATGCTGGTGAGGATGATGATGGTGGTGGTGGTGATGATGTTGAGGATGATGATGGTGGTGGTGATGATGATGGTGGTGATGATCATGGTGATTATGATGATGGTGATGTTGATGGTGATGATGGTGATTATGATGATGGTTGTGATGATGGTGGTGGTAGTGATGATGGTGAGGATGATGACGGTGATGATGATGTTGATGGTGATGATGGTGATTATGATGGTATGATTAGGATGACAGTGATGATGATTGTGGTGTGTTTGTGTGCACACTGGCTAGTGCAAGATTTCAAGTACTTGTGCATGCAGGTGTTCACACCTACTTGGGTACATATAACTTTGGAGTACAGCAGAGGTCACTGGTCTCCTGGAATTCAAGTTACAAGTGGTATGAGATGCCTGATGTTGTTGCTGGGAAATGAACTTGGGGCCTCTGCAACCACTGAGTCATCTCTCCAGACCCCACAATTGGTTTTATAAGTGAATTGAGGCAAAGCTGCTGTTAAATAATTTAAGACATAACAATATATTTAGAGTTTTCATTTGGGGGAATACAAAGCAGACTCAGGGGAAGAGAGGAAGGTGTGGTCAGAGGTCTTTTTACTTTGTATACTTCAACATGAAATATGTTAATTGAACAGTCAAAGGGGGTATTGATAAAAAATTCAAATTATTACTCTTGTTCTTTCTAAAGACCTGTTCTTAATATTTTACGTGTTTGCCTACTTGCATGTCTGTACATCGCTTGCCTGCCTGGTGCCTGTAGAGGACAGAAGATGGCGTCAGATCCCCTGCAACTGAAATAACAGGCTACTGTGAGCTGCTCTGTGGGTACTGGGAAGCAAACCCAGGTCCTCTGCAAGAGCAGAAAGTACTTCTTAATGGCTGAGCCATTTATCCAGTCCCCAAGGCTCTTTCTAGATACTTAAGCTGCCCTTTCTTTTCATGGATCTCTGCCATGTTCTCCACCCAGTGCTTTGTAAAATGTCCATTGCTAAGGGTTCTACCATCTTATCAAAATGAGAAGAATCCATTCTGGAATTTAAGATTTATTTATGGAACCTTACATGCACTTCTTAAGTTAGTTTCTTGTCCACAGAGCCTGAACATGTTTTATAGTTGCTTCATGAAATCAGTTTCCACTCTGATTTTCTTGCTCATGAGAATTCTCCTTTCTGGGTTGTGGTGAATGTTCCCACTTTTGTGTAAATCTCCTAGATGGGACACTCTGCTAATTCCTTATTCTACTTGTGCAAAATGAATTCTCCAGCTGGTTGTAGATTGGAAGTTCAAGACAGAGTCTCATGTAGCCCACGCTGGCCTTAAACTAATTAGATAACTAAAACTGGCCTTGGTCCTCTCATCCTTTTGACTCAACCTTTGAATGTTCAGATTATGGGCACATGCCAGCACACCCAACCTAGTTTACTATCTTGTTAAACAGAAACACTGTTTTAATGGGATGTACTGAAAATCTCCTGCTAAAAATGCCTTAACTAATATTAATTGATATTGATAATGGATATTTAATTAGAGTATATAAATCAACTCATTTATCTTGTACACACCCATATTCCTTAGAGTATTTATGACAAATATTGGAAGTGGCATTCTAATATTTAATCTAGCTTTAAGAAGGACAAAGGAAACCCCTGGGTCTGAACTCAGGCTTGGAATGACTTCTCTACAGAGCTGAGGCTCATGGTGGAGGTCTTCAGGCTTGGCATGTCTCACCCTATAGAGCTGAGACTCTGCGTTACACACAGTCAAGATTTCATTCTGAATTACTTCTGTGTCTGAGTCCCACACTCTCTCTTCTGGAGCAGGTTTTCCTTTATTTTATTTTTTGTGTCCATCAATACCAGCTCCTTTAAAGAGGAGCTAAATAGCTTAGCCATCGATTTGTACTCCCTTAAAAAGAAAATGATTTGGACTTTGCAGAATGGTGCCTCGTGTGCTTGCTTTATTTGCAAGCAGGGGCTTGCTGTGTCACCCAAGCTGGCTTTGAACCAGTAGGTTCAAGTGACCCTCTTGCTTAAGCCTCTCAGGTATATGGGACTACAAGGGCACTGGCAAGCATGGTGCCCTTTTAGAAGCTCTCTTGCTGAGGATGCTTGAAGAAAATCCACCGTACTTTCTAATTTCTGCTTCCCCATTTTGATACCGATATTGGAAAAATCTGACTCATGTTTCTAGAGTGTTATAAATTATGTACAATGAGGCTGTTGTAAAACACCACAAAGAGGAAAGTCAAATTTTCAGTGTATCTGCATTGTCTTTCCACAAAGAGATTAACATTGATTCCATCAAAATCTTAACAGAAATAAACACTTAAAATATTTAAGTGGATCAATTTTCCTGTGGTTTGAAGCCTAAAATTTTAAAGCCTTCCCCATTTAACACAGCGTTTTTCTGTATAGAAAAAAATGGTGGTTGTTTATTTTCCTATATAACCCACTTTTAGTCTTGTTTGGCATTATTAATTTAACATAAATACAACTTCTTTTGGCTAGAATTTTGTCTGTGTTGGTGTGCAATGTGTTTATAAATATAGCCAAATCAAAAAGTTCTTTTGAGGTGATGAGTTGATTTTAAAAGAATCATTGAAAGTTACAGATTCTTACTACTAATAATTTTGGTCATTAAAGGATACTGTTAGTGTCTGGGGAGATGCCTCAGTGCGTAGAGTGTCTGCTGTGCAAGCACAAGGACCTGAGTTTGAATGCCCAGAATCTGTAGATTCAAGTGTGCAGTGCACACTCAGAGCCGGTGCTGGGGGTGTGCAGTAGGATAGGGGTGAGGACAGACAGGCCCAGAGAAAGCTTCAGACTTGGTTGTGGCCGCTATGAAGTGAGTGAGCTGTGTTCTTCAGAGTTCTCTGGGGGAGAAGCACAAAGGGGGTACATTGTGAACCACAGGAAGGATAGGATGCACCCCAGCAGTGGGATGCCTGCCTAACATGCACGAGTCTCTGGATTTAAACCCCAGCACCACAAAAGAACCATAAAGAGAGGATGGGACTGACGGAGGGCAGGAGACTAAACATTTCATGAAAGAATCAGGATGACCCAGAGCAGGCCACCTGAACCCTGTGGAGACGGGAGCAACCCAGGTGGAGAATGGAGAG